CTTATCTTCCAGTTAATACTTCCTTGTCTCGTGTTTGAGCATTGTCTTTTTTCTATGTGAGGTTTTCTGTGTTTAAGGCACGGAGAAAGTCCTCCTACACCTGTCTGTGTCACTAGACTGTCTTTCTGGCCACAGACCTACGCAAGATTCCTGGAGCAGTTTAACCCCTCATTTCTCCCGTAGAGTCAGTAGCCCTGGCAGTTGGGTTATTTATTCCTGTGTGCCCATGGAGAATCTCAACCTTAAGGAATCTGTCACAGTTGTGTCTCCATCTCCATGGTCTAAGGGGCTCGATGTCTCCCCCATTAATGATACCTCCAGCCCTGTTGTGTGTTTGTAGCCTGGCCAGAATCTCTCTAGCTCACTGACCTGTTAGCACAGAGTCCAGAAATACAAAGCACCTCTCAGCTACCAAACAGTGCAAGCAGTGTGTTGACGTTGGTGACTGACTGATGGATTTTCCTAGCTATGTCTTTACTAAAATCCCATGAAGGTTTGCCTTCTTCATTTCTTTTAACTAGAGACAGAGTCCCTACGTATGTTTTTAACCTTGTACCCCTCTTTTCCTGGATCTTACAGAATTGGGTTCTAATGTACCATTTTACCCAGACTCCACAGTTGCCTTTAGAAACCTCCAAGATAAACTATCTCAAGAAGCCTTTAGTAGCCATCATTAATAACAACAACAACAACAATAATAATAACAAATAAAAGCTGCCATTTTACAAAAGGATTTTATTTTTTTACTTTTTAATTATTATTTTATATCAGAGTGACAGAAAAGTTGAATATTTCTGAATATTTTACTGGAATCTCACCTCCTAGTGTTTGAAAGTTGCATATATAACTAAAGGCCAAGATGCAACCCAAGAACAGGGACCATGAAGATAGCTCCTATGGAAGCCAAGGGATATTCTAGCCCTTTAAGGTAAACTTAAGTCAATTGAGAACACTGTAACTCAAGACCAGAAACTAACCCACCAAGTCATCTTGTAAAATGAGCAATGTATTTTTTTATCAATGGTCCTAATTAGTTTTCTACCAGAAAATTACAAGAGAAAAGACCTATAAAGGAATTGCTTTTACTATATTTTGTATGCTGCCCCCCAAAAAACCCCATGTTTTGATTAGTTCAGTCTTCATTGCTATTAGAAATGCTGTAGTTAACTTTTTGCTCTGATAAGGACTAACCCAGAGGCCTGTTTTCTGTACCATACAGTATCAATTATTACTGCATATTTTGTTAATCTCATTTATGTCAAAATTAAAAGTCCAAACAAGGGTTTTATATACAATGTCAGGCTTTGGGGCACAACTGTGAGCCATTTTGCCATTTTAGAATGGACTTTTGTTTTAAATAGACGTTTATTTTATTTTGTGTGTATTTATTTTGAGTGTTTACCCACATGTATACCTGAATACCACTTGCATACCCGGTATCTACAATAGGATACAGATGGTTATGAACCACCATCTGGGTGATGGAAACCAAACCTCTGTCAGAGCACAGTGTGCTCTTAACTGCTTAGTCATTTTGTTTTTTATAATATCCAGACAAGGATGAGCTACAGTTTGGACTTAGAATCTGGGCATTGTCCTATGAGGAATCTTCGGGACATGGGGACAAATAGAGCTAGGATCTACACAAAGACAACTGTCCAAAAGTAACAAGAAGCCATGGCAACAGAAAAAGCTTCCCCATTGCCCATCCACCCTACACTCTGAGGAAGAAGAGAGTAAAAGAAGTACAAAGTGAGCCTCTGAATTGCTCTCCCACAGGGAGATACAGAAAAAAAGTCACCGAATGAAGGGCACAAGGGATTTTCTTCTTGTTTTTAAATTACATGAGTGGCTTAGTCATTGAATACAGTTGTTTTAAATACCATGTGGTTTAAGAAAGAAACAACTTTTTATAGGTTAAGAGGCGAATCTCTCTTCTGTCTGCACAGAATCACTTCTAGATAAGCTATTAAACCAAAACAGACTGTACATTTGTCACATTTAGCTCACATGTCCATACATACGGTTCCAAGCATCCAGGTGGCTCTTTCTCTAATCTGTCTATAGATGATTTACAAACTAGTGTTGACCATTTATGGACACATGGCAGAATTAATATTTAGTTAATACTTAGTGATTAGTTCTTCTTAGACATAAAAAGAGGACAAAAATGCTTATTGCTGTCACTATGGGCACAAAAGTAATATTTTCACACTTCTTGAAAAGTTAAAAAAAAACAAAACTATGGGTTTACAATTCATAGGGATAAGTTAATGATTATTTAGAAGTTACTTTTCAACCTACCAATATGTCTAGATTAGTTTCTTGTGTAGCCAGATGTCTAGCCTGAATATTGTCCTGGGCCCTTAAAGAAAAATGAACATTTAGATGTGGTGAAAAGCAAATCACAATACAATATCTTTGGTTTAGGAAAGAGATTTGAGCATGAATGCTCACATACTGCACATACCAATAAAATATGGAAGCATCAGACATTCCCCAAATTTCTAGGCATTTTTTTTATCTCAGAGGAATCAAAGGATGAAGATGTAGCTTAACAGGCATTTCTTGTTAGTGTATATTTACACTCATAAAAATGTTCATTTTTCTTTAAGGGCCCAGGACAATATTCAGGCTAGACATCTGGCTACACAAGAAACTAATCTAGACATATTGGTAGGTTGAAAAGTAACTTCTAAATAATCATTAACTTATCCCTATGAATTGTAAACCCATAGTTTTGTTTTTTTTTAATTTTTCAAGAAGTGTGAAAATATTACTTTTGTGCCCATAGTGACAGCAATAAGCATTTTTGTCCTTTTTTTATGTCTAAGAAGAACTAATCACTAAGTATTAACTAAATATTAATTTTATTAATTACAATCTTATCTTATAGTTCCTTTCTTCAACTCTCTTTTGGTTTCCTCTCTTGCCCTTACTGTTTTTCTTTACATGAATATCAAGCTCATTAATAAAATTAAACATATATGTATATATGTATGTACACTACAATTTGAAAAATGCATGGTTTCTCAGGATCCATACAGTAAAGGCTTGCTCTCCATGGTGTCACTATTCGTAAGTCATCTAACCTTTAGGTTGGAGGCCTAAAGGAGCCCTCAGGTCGGAAGGAGGAGATAGTGGAGCCCTGGCCATACTTCTGTCTTTCACTTTCTAACCGTGAGGTGAGTGTTCGCTGAACATATTCTGCCTGTGATATACTCACAGACAATAGCCTAAAAGCCAAAGGGCCTAACAAATCACCAACTGGGACCTCTGAAAGCATGTTGGAGAATAACCATTTTCTGTCTATTATTGATCACTTAGGCATTTGTTGCAGTAATGGAAAGACAGACAACACATACAATCCTGAACTGAGTAAATAACTTATACCTGCCCTTTCAAGAACACAGAATTCATAGTGATGTCTGTTCCAAACCAAAGGAAGTGTTTGCACCCTTCAAAGAAAACACATTCTCTGATCACAATATGACTAAACTGGAAATGAGTGATGTTTAGAAAAGATACACTCTGGAACTTAAAATTGTATTACTACACAGAGCTACAAGTCAGTGACAGGTAGGAGAAGTATACCCTTGAGTTTGAGGCCATATTTTTGGTCCTTAGTGCCTTAAAACAAAACAGAAAAACCCCACGTAAGTCAAAGAACTCATGAATTAAAGATGTAAGTACACTACAAATACAACACTAAATAATATCTAGATGTGTTTATATACTAAAACATGCTTTGTCAATAAGATGTTAAAAACAAATGAAATTGTCATCTAAACAAAAATATAAAACAAAATAGAGAAAAAGGAGTGAAAGACAGCCTCACAACAAAGGAAAAGGTGAAATAAGATTTCAACAAATCCATACAGTAATGTAAAACTTCTGCAGACATCAAGAAACTAATCTGAAGAAAACGATCATAGAGACATAACACATACACCAGTGTCAAGTGGTGCGAGAGGCCTGGCTTTACCCCAACAGTTGCCCTGGACTAGCATTAGCAGGCCACCAGCTCAGCTCTGCTCCCACCATGCACTTCTGTTTTACTTTTGACCCAAAAGATTTTATACTCTCCTTTTGTCTGTTTTACTTGAATATAATTGGATGTTTTCTATTTTTTTTTAATTTTATTTTTAAACTTCTCTTTGATTTTCCATATTCCTTTTTCAAATCTCTCCAGCCATTTTCTGTCTTATCTGTCTTTGCCACATGCTCAGAGCAGAGAATATACACAAAAGCCTAAGCTCACTGGGTCAACTTGACTGGAAGCTCTGTCTTAAAAAAACAAACAAACAAACAAACAAACAAAAACAAAAACCAGCTTGGGTTGAAGTTATGCTAAGAACAAAGACTTTATCTTCTCCAAAAGCAATGCGTACTGCTCACCACTGAGCCATCTTGTTGGCCCCACACTGGTCACAAAATCCTCACCTTTATGGTGTTTGCTTAACTCACACCACGTGACTTGTTCCCCTTTCCCTCTCTGGTCCTGCCCTTACACCCACCTTCTGGTCTCCTCCCTATTCCCAAATCCCTCCCACGCTGTATTTTCATGATTTTTCCACCACACCTAGAAATTGTTACAAGATATAACATGTGATAATTATTTTCTGGAAAAAGATAAAATAAGATGAACATAAAACCCATATGGTGACCATCACAGAGCTGTATCTCTGTCTTTTGCCTTTCATACGGTTTTTGAGCTTTGATCATCAGGCTCTCAGCTGTTCTAGCAGAAGGAATCACCTACAACCATAATCATCAGCTTCCCCTTTTGACATACAGGATAAGTAGATGCATCTTGAAGGACCACACGACCTACTTCCTCCTCAACTACTCTGACAGTGTTCTTCACTAGAACTGCCAGGCTATTCCAAGAACATCACCTCTCTGATGCTCACAGAAGAGAAGTATTAAAAAAAATGCCTCACCAATAAGAAATGGCAGATAAGTGACACTGGGTCTGTTAGCTAGAAATCTCAACTCACCTGCCAGAACCATGTTCCTTGTAATAGGATGAGACTGGACCGCAGGAGCTCCAGAAGTGTATTGTTCTTTGTGAGGAACTCCATGAAGGCAACTGCGCCCCCCAATATGGTGATGAAGACCAGAAGTTCATGTAAAAAAATGTCAATCATTTCCCGACCGTGTGTGTGGTTGTAGAAGACAAATGCTAATTGAGGGGACAAAACATATTTTCTGATGAAGCCAAAGGCTTCCCACTGCACCATTCTCTCTCCATAGAATTTTATACAAACATAAACTTGTCCCAAAGAGCAAATCCCCACTGATCTCCATAGCAATGTACTTTTGCTTTGGGGGAGAGTAAACACTGTCTCTTAGGAAGAGAATCTCTGAATGCTACCCCCACTTTTCCCTTCTCTCAACCTTTGTCTTGTGTTCTAACAAACCATAAAATATTTTCAAGTTTTGTCCAAAGCATTGTCTGTGCAGGATGATGTATAATAAACATGACTGAAGTGGAGAGCTATAACTAACGTGAGTGTACAGATGAATGAGGTGAAGTCAAAGTCTTGCTTTTATCGCAAATTATCAAACACTTGTTTCGTCCACCACCCTCAGGATAATCTGAGAAATCAACTGAAAGAAATACCCTGTGGTTCTCATTAACCTCTCAGAATTAGGCAGTCGTTTCTTAGATACTACGTACCATATTTTGGCAGGGTTTCTGACCTTTGAAAAGCTCATTAGAAGCTGGCAGACATTTTCTATTGTGAGTTGATGTTCCATTTCAAGTAATTCATGCACTACTGCACTGAGTTCCTCTGTCACTGTTAGCAGTGAAAAGAATAATAGGCTCCACAACTGACAGGCAAGTGCCCATTGCAGTTGACTTTTTAAGCCAGACAGGAAATGCAAATAAAGTTTTTTGAGATACTGTGTCTGCCCAGATCTAAATTAGTCTGTAAAGATGTAAGGAAGGAAGACTATAGGTATCTTATCTAGACACACATACATTCAACTATGGCCCAGACAGATAGCCCTGTCAATCAAGGTGACACAAAGAAACTAAAGATGTGTTGTTATAAAATACTATATCAATGCCCACTGATAGAAAAAGATCAGAAAATGTATTTCCCTCATACTTACCCTCCACAAAGATGGCGTTTGATAGCATTAACTTGCTTAAGGAATGCGGAAGTACGTTAGTAGTGAAACATATGATTTGGGTTATACCCTGTAGCCCAAAGAAGAGGTACATGGTTGTGTGATGCCATTCCAGGATCTCGTTCCACTGGCCGTCTTTATATAAGATCAAGGAGGGTCCTCCTGAGGTAAACTGTTCCCCAAATACACCTGTGGAGGAACATATCACATTTTAGAATCCTCTCCTTAACTTTACCTTGTAGGTGAGAAGACACAGGAGTAAGTGCTCATTGCTTACTCCAACCTTATGATGCTGATTCTTCCTGCTGAGCTTTCCATCAAACGCATAACCACAATGATTTAAACTTGATTCAGCAGTTTAGATGCTTGTTTGGATAACCAGTTTCATCTACACATAGACAAATGATTCAAGCAACTGTTTCATATCCTTAACACTGGTAATTTCAATTCAACGATTGGTTCTAATTTAATCACTACTTGAGGGTTTGGATTTCCAATATGTGTCTAATCAAGAATGACTCCTTTCTTTCTAGATATTGCATGCTTAGGCAGCCATTTCAAAATCCCAGATTCCTGACAAAATTCATAAAGAATTAGCTGTTTCCCCAACTAAGAATAATAGAGATGGTTCATGGTTAATTATTCGTGTAGATAGTTTTTTTTTTTCTCTTAGACATGTTGCCTTGTTAACCTCTAGAATAGGAAAGAGAAGTCTTTTCTTTGGAAATGGTTATTTTGCAATTTGATGATCATAACAAAATCCTATTGACATGAATGAGAAGAATCAGTGGGAAAATTATAAGTATTACCTTTTATAAAAGAGCAGCTACAGCAGCACTGTAAAGATGTAGAACCTTTTTATAGAATGTTCAATAACAAGAGAAAACTTTGAAGTTAAAAGTTACCTGAACTCTGTCCAACTCAAGAAACAAGACGGATATACATGAAGCAAGATATCCTTCAGGCCTGATTCTCTGTATCATCTCTACCCAACAATTTGTTATTGGAGATTTCCCATAACTGTTTTGTTATTTTACAAAATATAAAGTAAGTCATTTCAAAATCATAAAGTAAAGTATAATTTACAAAATAATTTCTTAGAGCTTACTCTTTGAGAGATCACAACAACTTGTATCAAACTATTTCATAGGTTTCCACTGATAGAAAGGAAATTCACTTTACTGCATATACAACTTAAATACTAACTTGTTAATTTTAGGCTTTTGAATAATTATGAAATGTACTTTCCTAAGATTACGACAGTTGTAAACTGTAATTGGATTAAATACTAAGCAACATAGTAATACAAAATTCATTTTGTACATTTCAGTTTTGAATTGAATGTTTTTAAATTTTGTTTTTGTTTTGTTTGGCTCATGAAATACTCCAAAGGAGCAAACAGAATACTGCCATGAGTGGTCTACTTACCAGTAAGAGCCATTAAAATTACAACAACTCCTTCCCAAATCTCCGTGCGACGTAATAATGTTTTAGAATTAACATAGCAGGTCCGAGTTTGCTTTTTGTAGACAGATTTCAGAATGGCCTTTGTACTCCACCAAAAGCCCATGAGGAAGAAGAAAGTCCCAGGGAGAGCATGACCTCTGAAACTCCCCATGACCTACAAGTATAAGAAATAGACATTTCACTTAAACTCAGCAAAAGTATCTGTTGTCTCCACCAAATCTAATGCTGTGTGAGAATTATGAGTATATTGTAGATCCTACTATAAGATTGGCAATTTAACTAAAAATAAAACAAAAATCTTGCATTTCTTTGAAATTTATCATGTATTAGGCACCATGTCATCTGTACCCTAGTTTTTGAAATATACCTATAGGTAGGAAATCACTATCCAATTTTCAGATGAGAAGTGGGTTTGGAGAATTTAAATGACCTGTAGAGATTTTACAATTGATAAGCAATAAGTTTTGATTTCTTCAAAATACAGTATGTACTATATCATATACATGCCCTTTAAGCATAAAGGAAAATGACATGGAAGTTTGGAGAAGTTTTAAAAGTTTAAAATTTTAATAAGTTTAAAAATTTTAAAAAGAGGTGATACTGCCTATAAATTTTTAAGTAAATAATTTTGAAGGATCAAGGATCAAGACTTTTTAAAGACTGGTAGGATTCATGAAATGTTTCTATGTTCCTCTTTTTCTGTGTATCTTCCAGGCTTCTCATTCAGCTGAATTTGAACAGTGTTTGTATTCCTGGCTAGTTGAAAAGCAAGGAGCTGGCATGTGTCACTTTCAAGCTAAGTCACTTGAGTCTACTTGAATGACGTAGTTGTCTTGCCTCAGCTACTTTTGTGTGACATGTGTATTACACAAAGATGGGCAACCAGCCTGACTCACATATACTGCATATATGTGCATGCATGCATGCACGTGTGTGCATGAGTGTGTGTGTGTGTCCCTTGATTAATGTAGACCACTGAAACTTTGAGGTCTACTTTTAGAACAACAGAGCCTGAGGGGCACCAACTCAAATCACATCATAAATTTTGCTCACATTCTTGCTACAGTCGAACTAAGGAACAGAATTACAATCTGGATTCAGTCAAGGGTGTAAAACAGTCTTGAATAATGTGAGTTTTTAAATACTTGGGAAGCCCTTCTTTCAAGCATATTTATTGTACTTTTAACATAACAGTGAAAGTACAGTTCAAAATCATCCTGCATGTCCCAGAGTCGGATCCAAGCAAACTCACGAGGAGGATTTCACGATATTCCTAGAATAGGAGACTGGAATCCTTAATGGTTTTTTTTTTTTTGAGTGAATACCGGGGCTCATAGTTTGGGTTACTCCCCTCTGACTTAAAGGGTTGATCTAAAAAAATCCATGAAGCTGACCCACATACTGTATCCTGTGTATGCTCATTTCTGGCACCCTGGAGTCATCCAAACCTCCCAAGAGTCAGACTACATCACATATGTCTAAGTACAGGTTCTGGATATAACACTCACTCTGTGCTAAGCACAGGTTCTGGCCCTACTTCTCGCTCTGTGCTGTAGTTAGGACCATACACTTTACTTAACATGTTTTGGACATCTAATTGCAGTTCTTTGTTACTAAAAAGAGTATAGAGACTTTAATGATACATGAATTTCTTCTCCGATGAGCTCCCATTTAGTAACCTAACCCCCCCCCCCCGCCCCCCCCCCCCCCCCTTCCGCCCCCCCCCCCCCTCATGTGCTGTTGATTCCGCCTGTTTGTCTGGTTCAGACAACTATACGAAATTGAGAAATACTGTTGTGAAGAATACAGAAATACACCCAACCTATACATTTCCCCTCCTTTTTTTTTTTTTACAAAAGAGTTTTGTATGATTTAACAATCTTGAAACATTTTCTTCCTCCTTGATATATTAAACTTGTTTTTAGGAGTTTCTAGAAACTTAAGATTCTGGATTAAAACTAAAACTTTTCAAATTTAAGATCAAATAAAAACAATACATAAGTCAAAGAATTAAAAGAATGCTTAAAGAAGTTATGCAGACATTAAAAATACAGTCTTCAAATAACCCGTAATATTATTTAGTGAAAATAATGGATGAAAACGGAGAGAGAGCAGGACTCTATGGCTCAGGGGCAAAATCAAATGCCACACAAGCCTGACAACATGAGTTGGACCCTACAACTCTTGTGATTCTACAACCCACAAATGCATCATGGTGCATCCTCCACACATTGTACCCCCCTAATAGCAACTAAAACTGATCCTAAAATTTTAAAAATGAGGGTAGGTCTGAAAACTTCTTTATCACTTGTTACCTCTGTGGCTTTTGGTAAGTTACTTAAACTTTGAGTGTCTGGGTTTCCACCTTTGTAAAATGGGACCAATAATAGCACCCACTTCTAAACAATTAACTCATCTTACTATCAAACAGCTTATGTTATCCTTTACTGCAAATGAGTAGCGCAGTGGTTCTCAACCTGTGGGTCACGCCCCATTTGGGGGTCAAGTGATCTATTCACAGGGGTCACCAAAGACTATCAGAAATGTCAAATAGCTACATTACAATTCATAACAGTAGTAAAATTATAGTTATGAAGTAGCAACAAAATAATTTTATGGTAGGGAGGGGTCACAACAACATAAAACACTGTATTAAAGGGGCACAGCATTAGGAAGGTGAACCACTGTACTAAAAAAAATAATGTAAAAGTAACATGAACCCAATGATATCAGAAACTATATCATTTTTAAATGTTTTTAAAAGAAATTGATGCAAAACAAAACAAAAAGGTAAAGAGAAGTGACAGATAGAAAGACTGAAGGACGGCTTGAATGTGCATTGAACAAAGACAATACCAACGGACGTGCAGAAGTGATAGAGAAAAGTTCACCGGACCTCAGCCCTACTCAGAGAACCAGAGGCAACTAAGTGAAGCTGAGAGCAGAGAAGATGATATCCCCAGGGAAGAGCACAGCAATTGGTTGTTCAGTGTCAAATGGTTAACCCTGAAAACATATGCACAAGAAACATTATATGGATTGAACAGGTTATTTTTAAGAATATAAATGTCTATACATATACACATATGCATGTAAGAACAATTAGTGGAAAACAGAGGCCCTGAGTTTGAAGGAAAGTGGAAAAGGGTATATGGAAGGGTTTGGAGGTAGCGAATGGACAGGAGAAATGCTGTAATTACATAATAATCTCAAAAATAAAAGTTTAAATAAATAAAAATTAAAAGATAACACGAATATCTATTTCTATTTGGATACTGACTATGAAAAAAACAAAAGGAATTCTACAGAATTATTTTTGCCACTCCTAAGTGTATAGCTCCTAACTTTTCTTCTGTTACTGTCAGGGCAAGTTCCTGGGATCTTTTCTATGGTATTTGAATAAATTCCTTCAAAGTGGAGATCATAAACATATGCTGTCATTTCCTTCTAACCCTAGATAGTATCTAATGCTGTAAACATCTAAATTGACAGGACTCCCTCAGCTCGCCTTACAAACAAGATCATTTCATCACAAAACATCTCTGCTCGGATGTCTCAAAGGCCGTCTCATAGTCAACATGCCCCAAACAGAACAAGTCAGCTTTATCGATCTGCCTAAGGTGAAAAAGAAACTTGATTCATTACCTACTGGTTAACAACATTCATTCCTATTCACCCCTGCCCAAAAATATAAAAATCATCTTGGACTGTGACTATTTTCCTAAAAATTAATTAGCTATTGAAAAGTATCACTTGAGATGATTAATATCAACTCTCCATGGTCCCAAACTTAGGTGACTCTCCTTAGCCACTTCAGTGAGATCTGCTTGATCAATCCTGCCAAACAGAGATGGTTCCTTGTCTCACTTTCTCAAAGCATTGTTCCTTTAATGAATCTTTTCTGTGATTAGCTGTAGAAGACATGTTCTTCTCTTTAATCTGTATGACTACATCACTGTGCTTTGAAAGTCTTCCTACATAAGAAGACATCAGGAAGTTTCAGAAATAAAGAGCCTAGATCAGTTCTATTATCTCGAGGCCCCAGCATATTTGGGAATGTAAGATAGTCCCAAAGAGGGGGATAAAGGGCATATTATAGCTGCTGTCAAGCTTTAGAATTGCTGAAAATACTTAACATACAAGTAAGCAAGTAATAGTTCACATGGAATTTTAAAATCCAAGCCTTCCTGAATGTATAATTCTAGGTCATACAGTCTTCCTGCCTTGCCTCCATGACCAGAGTAAGTGAGCCTTTGCATTCTACCACATTCCTGGGCTGTAATAAGGAATGTAATAAAAGAAGAGTCACAAAATGTTTTTAATGGATTTCAGATGATCACAGAGGGCAAAGAAATGAGTCCTTCCTACTTTAGCTATAGTGCCACTGTCCTTTTCTTCTAAAATAACTTGATGATTCATATGCTGCTGTTTTTTAAAAAGACTTAGCAAAATAAAGACCTATCAATCATATTTGCCTAGCAAAAGGACCCAAGACACACAGCCATTCCTAGTGATTAAAATGGCAATAATTTCACTTTACTTTCACGTTGGAGAGGAAAAATGCCTATATCCTCAAATACTTCTCTTGGCTTTTAACTTATAAAACCATCTATCTTCTGTTTTCTGGTCTGGAGATACCTATTAATGTTGGTTGTTCCTTGTAAAAGCCTAGTACAACAGCAGAGTGTGGTGAGCTCTAAACCTCCAAAACAAGCACCTTCTTCAAGAAACACTGGGTGTCCTTCCTCACTCACACAGTTGAACTTGCCAGCTAGCCAGTGGTAATCAGTGGGGCAGAAAATAAAAAGAGCCTTCCTCTTGATCTTCACTTCTATCTGCAAGTTCAATCACTGCCCTACAGATATAGTTCATCCTAAAATTCAGATTCTTCTCCCATACAAAAAGACCTATTAATCATAGCAACACCAAATACTATTCTTTTGGCTGAAAAGAAGGAAAAGCAAGCAAAATAAACAAACAAACAAAAAACCAAAAACAACCACCCTCCTTATTTCCCACTAGATCATTTTTATTGGCAACACACACACACACACACACACACACACACACACACACACCATTACTCACATCCACTTACTTAGCACCAAAAAGAGTGTTTTTAAACTCTAGTACTGAAGAGATAATGTTCTATTG